AGTGAAACTCCTGTTTACATTTTTTTATAAGAAACACACATCCTTTTTTTCCCCCTTTTTATCCAGATAACGCTGTAAAGTTCTAGCAAGAGGTTACACAAAGCAGCTACAAATAAAGTGAATGTACATAAATAACTTTGTCTGACTTCTTGTTTAATGTCCAAGATGATTGGAACAGATTGTATCATGAACTACTTTCCCTTTGGCTAATTAAATAGCCGTCCCCACTTACCATAAAGCATATTCTTATTAAAACAAGTATCTATATTCACTCTGTTGGATAAATTACTTCCAAGTAAGTGCCATAAAGCCCATTACACTCCTGCTTTAGAAGTGGATTAGGTCCAAACAGACAATCAAAGGATTTCACTGGGATTATTTTAGATTAGAAAAACTAAGGGAGACATAAGGCACTGACAAGATCATAAAGACATAAAGGATAAATTAGCAGTTACATACCAAACAAAGTACTTCAGTGGTATCCTACCACATCCAGAAGGAATTAAAAAAAAAAAAGAATCCTATTGTATTAACCAAGGCCCAAATGGAAATCTGTTTATGTAGAAATAAAATGACATAAGTAAATGTTATCTCCCATACAAATCAAATGGCTATTTCAAAGTTTAAAACCTGGTAATATTCATCTAGAACCAACTTCACCAACCAGCTACGTAGGAATTTACTCTTCCTATAGGCTCCGTTTCAAATTTAAAGCAAAGACCATGTTATGACTTACCATATTAATGAGCCATTATTGCATAACTGTATATTTATTGCAGATATATTACCTGCTAAATGATGCTGTTTTTCCAGAAAAAGTTCACAGTACAGATTCTATGGGAATGTTTCCTGCTGACAGTTCCTAAATCTTTCAGAAGCTGTCAGCAACCTCAGAAATCAAGTGTGCAGTACCCTAGCAAGCAGAAGCACATGCATAGGCCCTCTATTTTTAAAGTGCAATCCAAACCATTAAAGAAACACCTTAAACATAACAGATGATTGAAAATAAGATCATCCTACCTCACTTGTCAATCTAAAGGACACTGTCAATTACCCATAATCTAACACACAATTTCTATAAATATAACTCAACATCAAAAATCTAATTATTTTTGCTAACTTCTGCCAAAACTCATCATCCTCAGAACCATGTTAACAAAACCTTGATATTAGAAATATTTGTGGAGATGTTTATTTAATTTTATTTTTTCTAATATCAACACTGATTTATGGGCAACATCCTTTTTTTTTTTTTTTTTATCGGTATCCAACCTGCCTATCAGGGACTTTTCAGCCTTCAAGCTCAAAAAAAAAAAAAAAAAAAAAAAAAAAAAAAAAAAAACACAGAGAGACAGTCAGAAGCTTACAATAACTTAAGGGAAAAGGTTGTGATTACAATTAATTACTGCAGATGACCCATCAGGCTTTTGACATGTCCCCAACTCTGCTTCCCTGTAATGCTTGTCCCGCTCGCAGCCCTGGTTGGGACGATGCCCCGGAGGACGGAGGCTCCCGCGGGGCTGCAGCCCTTCGCCAGAGCTGCGGCCGCAGCAGCGACGCGACGTCTCGGTCACACCCGCAACGGGAGCGCCGAGATTCCTCAGCAAGGCTTGCTAGGAAAGCTGATTCCCACTGCTTCCATCAAATCTGATTACTCCCTTTTTATTATAGTGGCCATTTGCAAAGTGGTGCTCAAGAGTTTACAGGCACAAACTCCCTTATTGGTAAATGGGATTTTTATGGCTAATTTCTCCATTTGCTGTTTGTTATGAAGATTTGTGCACATTACTCTGGTACACCATTTCATGACTATATTTTATAATGTTCTTTTGTTTTGGATATTAGCTAGCAGATAACTTTCTCAAGAGCATAATGTACTCCTCTAATATACAATATTCCATGCTGCTTTTTGTCTGGTTTGGGCAGAGAAGCCTGATAATTGCCACAGTGGAAAAGACAGAAATTTCCTTGCCACAGCTAAGAACTTGAAAGTTTTTATTTCTAAATCAACCTCTCTTTTTGTCTGTGAATCAGGGTAAGGGTATTCCAGGAATGCCAGATTATTTTGTATGAAGACTGACTGTTTTACCTCCTTAGCAAGTGGTGATTTAAATCAGATATGGAGCAACCTCAAGGCAGGTCAGAAAAGGTGACTTAAGGGGAGGCTCAAAATAAGTCACTTAACTTGCAGGTGCTGCTTTGAGACCAGATTTAACAGCACGGCCTGAAATCTATACATATCTGCGTGAATGGTGAGATGTCCCAAAAACTGATGGCTCTTTAGGGCAGGCAAAATAGGCACATTTTTAATCCTACCGAAACAGGAGCTGCAGGTTCAACAGCACCATGCTCACTGCATAAACACAATTTCTGCTTTCACTTTTTAGTATTTAAGAAAAGTAATGAGGAACTTTTTGCTAGTCTCAATTAAGCTTTTCAAATAAACATGGCTTAACTGCAGTTGGCACTATTAGTAAAGCTATAAAAGCAAAAGCCATGGCCAGGAGGGTTGCTTTAAAACTGAAGCTTAGGAAAGAAAGAAGAGAGGAAAAATGTGGATCACAGTTTGCTACAAAGTGAGGAAGGAAAGGATGGATCATAAAGTGTAAAGTATGTACATACATGCATGTGTGTGTTTTTATATATGTATACACACACTTGCATAAATATATATCCTTCTGGTCTACACATTGTTGGACAATACATATGTTGTTCAACAAATAAAGAGAATGAAATGTAAAGTTTTCATTACTTATGAGATGTGCAGTAAGTCCAGAATATAGGAATATTTGCATTTTTAATGATTTTATTATTGCCTGCAGCATCTCCTCAGCTATAGACTGACAGAAAGATCATCAGCTGAAAAACTGAAATAACACCTGACTTGGGTTAGAAAACCTGCAGCTGAACCTCATCTAAATAGCACCAATCCAGCTAACACTGCACAGAGCTGATCTTATCCAGAGAGGAGTTTGCCAGGGAAAACCGAACACTTTTAGCAAAGGTTTGGAGAAACCTGGGCACAGATGTTTAATAGACCTGGCTTGTCAGATACTCGCTAAGGCTTTTCCGAAAGCCACCCTCACTGGGTGTTGAGAACTACTTTTAGGTCTTCGCCGAATCTACAAAGCCCTGATTAGTTTCAGTTTCCCTGCATGTAAAGTTGAGAAATGATGATACTTAACTTTTTTCATAAAAGGCTTTGATACCTATTGAATAAAAACACTCTGTAAGAAACTCGCATATATATAATTGATTTTATATATATATATTTATATATGAATTAAATCTATTGGTATGGATGCATGTAGACAAGGGAATAGCAAGTTAATGTTCCTACAAAATAGAACTATAAAACTATGACAACATTTATGGTCAAACTTTATTTGTTTTGTAAATCGCACGGAGCCTTAAGCCAAGCTTGAGCATTATGCTCCGTGCTGCGTATTCGGAACGGCGAGAATTTCTAAACAACTACCCAATAGAAACCTACTGCACTTCTGAGCACAGGCTCGTCTTCAGCTTCAAATGAGGGCTTGAAACGAGCTGGCCCTCTGAAAACCTGATGAGCATTGTTACAGCTAAGTTTCTCATACAAATCACATATCATTTCCATATCTAACTGTACATACTTGTAATTCAAATAAGTTGAAATATTTTGAACTTTATAATTGTTTTCATTGGAATATATGGAAATGCAATTATTTTTGCTCCAAAATTTTGTCTTATTTTTAAATGGAGATATTAAAACACTTCTCAAAACCACTGCTCAGATAGTTTTACAAAACTGACAGGATATTCCAAATTTCAAAGCATGATAAAATTTTATTCTGAGTGAATCAAGTCTTTGAAGAGGACCGACTGCCTATGGTAAATATGAGCTACTTTGGTAAACTGCTTATTTTTCTTCTTAATTTTCTGGGATGAACATTGATATATAAGCTTCACGGCACAACTACTGAGCTAAATCACTTCTGGAGGTAGTACATTTCTGGTGAATGTTTACTAGTTATATATATGCAAACATTAATTGGTGTGGGAGGAGAAGCAAGATGAATGCTGATATTTGTGAAGTTAAAGGATCTAGCAAGCTTGGAAACAGAAGCATTTTGTTTATCCAGAACCCAGCTACGATCTACAGGGTGCCAACGCAAACTTCTAACTACCATGCAAAAAATGACAAGAAACAGTGAGAGCCATCTCAGTTTAAAGTCTATCTGTGGTTAAACATCAGCCATTAAACCATGCTGTCTGTTACATGGCAGATTTTTTAAATGCTTTGTATCCGACTTTCCCCATATTTTTATCTCAGCAGGAATCTACTATCAGCTACGCTGAATGACTGTGTCCTCTAGCCAGCCCCTGCAGGCATCAGAGGTACAGCATGTCCTTCAAGCTTTCATCCTCCCAGAACACCTGGTTCAGTAGTTATCAGAGAATCTCTCTTTTGGTCTCTCCATGGTCCCTCCTGACTGAGGCACAGTATTTGCAAAACCCTTGAGATTCTCCTCTCCTAGGGGCTGTAATTCCCATCTTCCTTACAGACTTGTTTCTCTCAGTTGGCAACATGCTGTGCTAGAGGCCAACATTTTTCGTGACATTTTAACAAGCCCTGTCAAATGCGTCACCTCAAATGTCCTGCTTTTTATCCTAAAGTGAATGCACTACTACTAAATGCTGGGGAATTGCTAAAATGGGAAGAAAAGGGTTCCCCTTCCACTGCAGTCTCTAACTCATGTTTAATGGAAAGGCTCTTACAGCCTTTCCCAGCAGCAAGTCCTTCTCCCTCTCTTCTAGTGCCTTCTTCCTACATAACTTTGAAGTCCAGGGGGCAGCTATTTGCTAGTTCCTGTGAGCTTATCTCATTATACCCATCTTTCTCCGGCTCAACAAACATAAGAGGCTCTATAGCTGAAGTGGGAAGTATCTTCTGTCTTAAATAAATGAAGAGACCCAATCTCTCCTTTGGAGTGTTCCTGCATAGAGAGAAATGCACTCACCTGACAGGATGGTCTTTTGGTCTGTTATTGCCAGTGCTGCCAGTTGAAGTTAGGACTCACTCTTTGCAGTGTAGAACAACTTTGATTTCTTTTTTTCTCTCCCATGGATTACAAGGAGTGTCTCCTTAAGAGTTTCAGCCCAACATGATATCTGAAAGGGAAGGAGATGGAGTTAAACTAGCAGTTCCCTAGTTGTGGAGAAAGAGAAGGTGTCTCTGAATGACCTCACTGACCATTTTTGCCTAAATTTAACAACAAGAACAAAAACTATTAATCATATAACAACAGAGTCCTAACAGCTTTCTGGCTTCTGCTTGCTATTGAAATAAAATAATAAATCAATGCTATTGAAAAAAAATAATAAATAGTTGCGATACCCTCCTTTTTACTGCCTGAATACAATTCATCAACTCTGAGAATAGATCACAATTTCTTCACAATAATAAACGAAATTTTCCAAGAACATAGGCTATTTCCAAGACATAGCCTATCAGATAGCAGAGTTTATCTTCCTGTCATTAAGGTGCTGAGGACAAATATAATGGAATAATTAAATATTTTAGTAAAATAAAGATATTTCCCCAGGTTTCTTTCTTTTTGCAGTATTTAAGATTTGCCAAACTATGTCAGATAAAAGATGAATCTAGTCAAGTATCCCGTCTGTGACACCATCCAGCAGAGACTGAAGAACACCTGGGCAGAGGTAGGTATGCAGTGATCATTCTCCAGAATACTGTCCCAACAGAGACAACAGAAACAGTTTATTTATATGCAATAGCCCACAATGGATTTTCCTTTGTGGCTCTCTCCATCCTACTTCAACTCGTGCATAACTTCAGCACACTACAACGTCATGCAGCAAGGACTCCCACAGTATCCTGCTGCTGTGTTAGAGTGGATCTTCTTTGGTGAGGTATTTTGCTCAGAATTATGGATTCTTTTCAAATCATATATCTTTTTAAGAATCATTCATTACATGTTACAGCAAATACTGTTTTCTTTAGCAATTTAAAACACAGAAGCACTTCTGTTATTACATAAAAATCAAAAATAAAGCATAATGAAACAAAAATGGACAAAGCAACTAAGCCACAGCTATTACAAAACCAAAGAAATACCTAGAGAAGACAATTTTAATAATATTTTCAGTTTATCTGATAGGCTGCTAGGTGCCATTAAGGAGTTAGGATTTCCTAATTGCTATCATGGAGTGATTATCTAGAATGTCACATTTTGATCCCACAGTTTCACTGATGCCATTCTGTAGGAGACTGAGAAACTGAAATGCACCACACAGCTGATGAAATGAAGCTGGCAACTCATTAAGCCAATCAATTACACACAAGTTCTTTGTACTTTGCAGGCAGTATCATCCACAAGCTCTGTCTTCTTGGACTCAGATGATCTCTAAGCATACCAGGCGTTAGGAGGATTTGGGTACTGCACCTTTCAAATCTGTTAAGCAATGTAGGGGTTTAGGCAGAGGCTACAGTCAAGAAAGGTGAAGAAGAAAAGAAAAAGCAGCTTTATGGCAAATGCATCTACTTCCACCCTAAGAGGGGTCTAATGTAACGTTTGAAAGAAATGACTGCTCCTTTATATTTTTATTTTTGCTACATCCCAGTGAAGACTGTAGTTTTCTGCTGTTCTAGCAGAAAAGATTTTACTTCATTACTGAGCTTCTAATGTAAGCCTCAAGTCATCCTGCTTGCTTGCAGGACTGCAGTGAGTCCCTTCAGACAAAAGCAGCTGGAAGATGCTCATGACCCTCACACGTGCCGGAGGATGCAGCAGTTTCCTGTAAGAGCTGAACTTTTCCCCGTTCCCTCCAGGCAATGAGCCGGGAGCGCTGGCCTGCTCTGGCCCGCGCTGTGCCAGCCCTCGGTGCTCACTGCCTGCTGAGCCATGGGAGATGCAGGCCAGGTACCTCTTCCTCATGGCAAGTTCTGGAGCAAGAATCCCAGTTTCTCTGGATTTCTTTGATTTCTCTGCACTTTTTGGTCCCACTTGAGTGTTCTGCTCTCCTCCCATACAGGGCCCTGACACCTGCCTGCCCCAGGCTGCCACCCCTCGTTAGAAATCCTGCCTGAAGACCTCCCTGCTGCCCCTCCTACTCAGCGAGTGCCCCGACTCTGCTCCCCAAATGTGTGTCACACCACACCTGGGCCTTCTTGCAAGGCCGCGTGTCCTGGAGAGCATGGCCCCATGTGCCTACGTCTGGGCCTTAGGACATCAGCACTCAGTGCAGAGCGCGAAGGAGGCCCAGGGACACCGGCCTGGCACTAGCGACATGGCACCTACTTGCCATCATTCCCATGGTTCTCAACTAGTCTCCTCTGTAATTGCAGGGAGAAGTTACCATGAGCCGTTTGGGCCTGTTTGCATCCAAGAGATATTGGTGTTGAAAAGAATCTGGCCCTCTCCTTAGTGAACGATAAACAGAATGACAGAGAGAGAGTTACATCCAAGTATTATGAGATACTAGAAATGGAAAAAAAATACTTCTGCCTACTTGAAACTGTACCCTGCATTTTGCTAGAGGGACTAGCGGAGCAGAATGCAAGTCCCACTGTCTCACCGTAATTTCTTTGGAAATCTTTACCACAAAGGCAGGGTAGCCAGGGGAGTGCTGAATGGAGCAGAGCGCTTTCAAGAGATGCCAGAAGATGTAAAGTATAGGCAGGACAAGTGCCTGGCAAAGGTAAGTACCCCCTCTACTGACCTTAAGCTGATATCTCCCCAGCAGACCAAAGTATATACCCTTGTGTAATGCATGCACGGCATGGATGCACACACATGTATTGATATATTGACAGAAATGGAAAAAACACAAGTCAACTATTAATACGGCAATATATCTTCTCTAGTGATGTATCAATACTGGTTTATTCCCAAGGTATACAGCTAATTTCAATGCTGGGCCATATAAACTTCATTTAACAGGACTCCTGCTTATTAAACAGGCCATACTACATCATCTAGAAAACATGCTGAGCCACCTTCTGAAACTGTTCCTTTTGCCAACAGTATTTTGGACAATGCCACCTGCCCAAGGAATTATTTCTGCTAAACTGCGTCTCAAACTCCTATCAGCTGCAGCACTGCTTCTGCTCTTCAGTAAAATCAATGAATACCCTTGACTCCAGTGACAACAGCGTAAGGTTTCACGCTATAAAAATATAATGCCCGCAATATTTGTCAAAGCAACTTCGTTCTGAGATCCCCTGTCACAGCACGGAAAACCCAATTACTGGCTCCCTTCGAAACTGAACTTACTCAGTTTAACACCAAGTGCTAAATCAAATTCCGTCATATACAACTAAAAATCTAAATGTGTATTTTAAAAGCAGAGCTAAAGAGCATTTTAGGCACCACCTCTGCCAGCTAATCCATATGTAAAATAAATCTGATGCAATCTTGAGTACATGGTATGTCTGCATTTCAGAATGCTGTGCTAACTGGAACATCTGAGGCAATTCAATGTCAGAAATATATGACATAGGATAGTCCAGCACTCAGTGAGTTCAATATACTCAAAAAAGTTTGTTTAAAACTAGCTCAAATAACTTCAAATAGTACAGAACCAGGTGAAGTACCTATAATTTTAAGATCTACTAGGTAAAATACATTTGCTCTTATCTGGTGGAGTGGAGCTGTAAGTCATCCTCTGTCCTAATTCAGACAAGGCCTCAGAAATGATGTATGAAGAACAGCTAGACTAAAATGAGAGAAAGATGTATGTTCAAGAAAGCCAAGGATGGTGAAGAGATGGAACATGCCAAAGGAGAAAAGATAAGGTCTCAAAAGTTACTTGAGTTTGAACTTTCTTTAAATTCATTTAAAATGTTCCTAGACTGGTCCTAGTCCTAGACTAGCAAACTGTATCCTTCCTTCAATGCCCATTCCAAATTTCAATATCTTAATTTTAAAATTTCTACAATTATTAAATAGTTAGAAATACAGTATCTGAAGAACATAGACCACTGAAGGCACAAAAACATAAATACAAAACAAAACATTATTTTATACAAATTTAAATAGAGATAATGAGATAAATTGATAACAATCACTTTTGTGACTGCTAGATTGCTACAGAATACTTGAATGCCAGTAAAGACAGAGATTTATATCTAATTCATCCTTGAGAGACTTAAATGACAAGCACAACCAGAAATACTTTTCAGTATCAACAACAGCATAAGGCGTTGAGGAAAGACTGCTGATACCTATGAAGTCAATACCCCAGCTATCCCCTTTCACCACACCTTAATTTTGTGTTGATCCCTAGGTAGGGCACTGAAAGCTCTTGTGTTGATGAGAAACCCCAATGCTTCAGTCAGCCCTTCAACAGTGAAATGTACAATTAACAGATAGGACTAACCTAAAAGTATCTGGTAACTCTTAAACCAATTGATTCATTCTCACTAGCAGCACCTTTGTACCCAAGTGCAGTAAGTGTTAAGCCTCACAAACAATGAAAACTTAGATAACAGTGGCTGTACATCAAGGTCCATCAGGTGCTGGATATCAAACTGCTGTTCTCAGTGCTGCAGGCTCCATATATTAACACTCAGAATAGTTGAATCAGCACACAAGTCCATTTCTTGAAAGGTATTAATCTTTTTAAAGGTGAAGAATTAATAACACAGAGAGAGAGAAAAAGGATGAGAGAAATGCAATCTGTTACAGGACTGGGAGAGTGCAAATGAAGATTAGAGCTGTAGTTAGCTGTCGTAAGAGATTGCAGCCTCTGGTGAACAAACACTCCCAACTCACTGGCATTTGTCACTCTCCAGCATTCAAGCCTAAAACACATTTAAAGTAAATCTGAGACACCGGAACAGTTCAGAATTCTGTATAAGGGAATATGAACATGTCAGGAGGCTGGAAGTAAGGAAAAGGTGTGGGGGGATAGATTCTCTGTTCATTAACATGCACTCCTTTCAAGAGAAATAGGCAGATGGGAGCAAAACAGTATGTGTTTTCTAGCTTCTATTAAACAACAAGATGGAAATAACCACAAGTACAGAACCATCTGAAAAAAGTCTGGAGACTCAGCAGGATTTTAAAATCATTCATGTTTCTCTAATCCCTGCCTACTAGTTGATGTGTTTCAGAGAAGGCAAACGGCAGTCAGGAATGTGAGCAGAG